TTGACTGGTCAATACAATGAGTGATCTGTGTAACGGAGAATGAAAATCATATCTATATTTGGACGTTTCCTCCTGTTTGTAAGTACTGAGTCTTTGCTACGTGGCACATCATTATATATATCGATGATTTTACATATCGATATATGATCAAACGCTAAAGACAATAATATTTCCAAATATGTGATTGATAGGCATAATTAAACATACCACGGCGTTATCACAGCGGAATTGATAATATAAAGAGTAGACTCTAAAATAAGAATTCTACTAGCAGGTTTTAAGCTTATGTTATTAATTTATTTCAAAACATAACTTTAGTAGCATATCTGACATTACTATTTATGATGTCTTATGAAATAGAGTCTTTTACCCCTTTGATACCAAGAATAACTTACCTAATTTCGGAAATTATTCAAATTTATGAAGGATCACAGTACAATAAAAAGATTTGCAATGCATTGCTAGACCGTGTGCAAAGCGCAGAATGTGCTTTGAAAATATTAAATAGGAAAAAAAAAGAGAATGAAGAAAATTTTCGCAAGAATGATAATTATAAAGCCTTCCATAAATTTGCAATAGTATTGCAAAAGATCAAGAAATTTATCATGGATGTTGGTCAGCTTTTAACATTTAGAGGAATTTTCGAAGCAGATAAGAAGGAACATGCTAAAAGTATTGAAGAACTTCAAAAATTACAAATAGATTTCAATACAAATGTGGTTTCAGAAAAGCTTAAAAAGTTGACTGACGAATTTGACAATGTGATGGACAGTTTGCAATTTGCTAACATTCCATTCAGTAAGAAACAATCGGAAACCCCAGAGAATAGCGTAGATATCGAGCTTGGTGAAATGGTGAAGGTTCGTATCTGGTTATTAATTAATTCAGCACTCATCTCTTATGCTAATTAAGGATATTTACACTTTTAGTTTTTAAATGAAATTGAAAATTTTTTTGACAAAAACAGCCAAGCCCTTAAAGAATTGCTAGTTATAAATGATAACGATAAAATTAGGAATGAAATTGAACCACCACAAATTAATTCGAGAGAATTAAAAGAACTGAATGAATCGAATAGTCTTCAACCGGATAATAGACAAGGAATATTTAGGAAATTTGTACCATCAAAAAATAAAGGTGTTGATCAAGGTAAAATCATTAAGAGACGTTATAGAAACGATGTTGTTGTTTGTCTTAAAAAATGTTCAAAGGATGATCTTCGACAATTGAAGATCCGGGAAAGACTGAACAAGTTGCCAAGCATTCTTCAATTTTATGGCACTTATTCCGAATATATGGTTCTTGAATTTGCCGAACGAGAGAGTTTAGAAGAAATTATTAATGGATCTCGTGGTATCCCGTGGCAAATAAAAATACTTATTGCTCTTGAAATTTGTCGTGGCATCATATTCTTACATAGTGTTAGGACATTTCATTATGACATCAGATGCAAAAATATAATGGTAAATTGTATACTTCATATTGACTTAGATTATCTTTATAAAATACATTCCGCTAAATGTTATTAACCATAATTAGATAACGGACAAATTGATGCCAAAAATTACAAATTTCCAATGTGAAGGATCTGAAAGAGAGTTTAATTGGATGGCTCCAGAATGTATGGAGAATAGTCAGAATTACACTCACCAATGCGAACTATTTAGGTATAATAAATTATTTATTATTTTTAAAATTAGTTTAATTCCTACTGCTTATCGTTCTATAAAACATTGTTAGTTTTGGAATGCTCTTATGGGAGCTTTGTTATAGAAAACCGCCCTATAAAGAATATGAAAAAGATAAGATAAAGGAGCATGTCTGTAGTGGAAAAAGAGAAAATCTTTGGATTGATCAAGTTGAAAATTCTAAATTAGCCCAAGAAAACAATAACCAAGAATTGGAAATTCAAAAAGAATTAGAAGTTATTATTAAAAAAAGTAGGTATATTTAAAATTTTACAAATATTTATTACCTTAAATAATTGTAAATTTTTCATAAAAGCATGGCACCATGAACCTGAAATGCGGATCAGCATTTCTGAACTATTTTTGGGGTTATCAGAATTGAATAAGAAATATCCTAACGAAATCAAAGACCTTCCTGATAAGAAAGAAAATATCAAAGAAGGAGATAAATCTAAAGAAAATTCTTCACTTAAGTTGGTTACGCAACTTGAAGAGGGAATAAAACTTATTAATAGTGATAGTGATAGTGATAAGAAACGAGCTTTTGAATGTTTTGATAAAAATGATAAACTTGGATATCCTGAAGCAAAGTTTTGGAAAGGCTATTATTTATTGCATGTTAAAAATCCAAAAACTGACAAAGATAATGATGATGCTCTTGAACTTTTAAAAGAAGCCGCTGATAATGGCAGTTCAGATGCCCAATTATACTATGCATTTGCTTTATTGTCATCAGAATCAAGTGATACAAGTAATAACAATGATAAAGAAATGAAATTTTTAAAGTATTTATCATTATCAGCTAATCAGAGAAACACAGTAGCTGAGTATTATTTAGGTAAAATATATTTAAAAAGAGAAATTGAAAGTATTGGACCGGATTTCGAAAATATTGGAAAGAATTATTTGAATCTTGCAAGTTTGAAAGGCAATACAGCGGCGAAAAAATTATTGGAGAACTACAAATAAACAATCGTAAAAATTATTAGAAAGATGACAAGATATTTATAATATTGTATTTTTCAATATATTATCGTTATAATATAAGGGTTTGGTTTTTTTCACACACCTGCACAGCAGTGCATCCCCTAATTAGCCAATTAAAATGCAAAATTGTTGTATTACGTTACACTTACGTTAAACTAAATCAAAAAACAACAACAAACCCTAAAATTCGATTGGCTAATTAGAGGGTGCGGGTGCGCAAAAAACATTTTCCCATAATATAAATTAATTTTTGGATATTTATTTAGTTTATATTATATCAATGTTATCTTTTATTGCTTCAAAATAAATAAACATACTTTTTTGACTTATTAGTTTATCTGAGATTTATACCCCTATCGTTATTTTTGCTATTTGTACCCCTAAGAATTTAACGTTAATATTTTTTAAAACCTTGAGTGAAGATATCTCGATAACTACCTAATCAAATTGGATGAAAAATTTTTTATTTGAATTCTATAAAAAAATTCATCGAATTTAATCAGGTGGTCATCGAGATATCTTCACTCAAAGTTGGTAAAAATTCAAAATATCTATTAAAATAGAAGTTATAAAATATAAAAGATTGTTGATGTAGTAACTTAATGTCTACCACCAAT